GTGTGGAAGTGTATTCTAAAAATAGCTGAAAAACAAAAAAGAATCGGCATTAAAAATAATAAATACAAGTCACAAACTACAATAAATATTAATGACTGAAACTTTAATTTAACAACTCTGTAAACTTGTTTGGACAATTAAAAACTTTCAATCATGTTTCCATTATATACACAAATATATACAAATGAATCTAAAAAAAAAAAGAAAAGAAAAAAAAAACAGTCTTAAAAAAATAATCTTTCCTTGCATTTCATTTATCACTCAATCCTCAATGAACCATTTAGCCTCGCCCAATGCCAATGTTGAGTTTATGTATGCGAGAATAAAATTAAGTTGAAGCCATTTTTAAAGCTGCTACGAGCGAACTAACAAACGAACGAACAAACGAACGAACGAACAACTGTCCGTCCTTGTAAAACGCTACACGGATGACAAATCACAGTCAGCTCAATCAATGGAAAACGCCGCCCAAGAAGACTACAAAACACTTGCTCCACTTCCAAAAGGTTTACGTTGCCAGACAGCCAGACTCCAACAGCACGCGCACGCACACACACACACATATATATACATACATGATGGAGTGTGTGCGCTTCCATTGAGAATGGCAACAACAGTCGCGCGTGCGCCGTTAACAACAGCAACAACAGCAACAACAACAATAGCCTGAGGTGAGTTACAGTTAACTAGTTAGTTAAGCAGACATGCGCCAATATAAATTAATACGCTCTTTTCGGGGTGCGCGTGTGCATTTACATATGTATGTATGTATGCGTGTATGTATATTTGTTGGTGTTCAGTTATTTTTGTTGCCCAGCAACGCCTGGGCATCACATGCGCGCAACTTCCAGTCAGTTGTTGATTATCTGTGTTCAGTTTCTATTTTGCTCTTGGGATATGCATGTGAGTTTGCTTGTGCTTACACTCAATTAGTTTTGTTTGTGTTAACGCTTGCTTTCTTTATACAGCCAAAAGCCTTTGGCGTCTTACTCTTCTTATTTCGCAGAAGTTTTTTGTTTTATTTTATTTTTTGTAGTTTCTGTGGTTTGTCATAATTTGCACCTGCACGAATAACCGCAATAGAAAATCAGGTTCATTAGGGTGCGGCAGGCGACACAGTGATTAACAAAAGTGAACCGCTTCATACGATTTTCGCACAATAGATCTAGCGGATCGCAGTGCATATATATATATATATATATATCCCAACAATAATAATAATAATAATAACAATAACCAAGCGACATCCTTTTCAAATTATGCAATAACATGTGCATTTGCTGGAAATTCATGTTCAAATAAAAGCGTACAAAAATTGTCAATAATTGTTAAAGCCATTAATAGTTATTATTGAACTATTATCCGCTTTAGTTAGAAGACTGCAAGCAGCCAGTGTGTGTTGTCTCATTGCTTTTGTGCTGAGAATGGCGAAACGAGTTTGGCCATTAGAAGCAACACAGTCAGAGCGATCGATCGATCGATCGATGGATAGATAGACACATAGATAGATAGTTAAATAGTTATTTAAATCTACAAACACTTCATCTTCTACTTCGCCTTTTTTGGCATCACGTCAGTTTATAACTAATTCGTCATGTGTCTGTGTGTGTGTGTGTGTGTGTGTGTGTGTGTATGCAAGGGCGTACGCAACTCAAGTTTTTTTTTTTCAAGTGGTGGACAAATTTCTTAAAAGGGCAGCCGAATTGTAATTTATCTTATATTTTAATTTACCGGCCATATGCGTTAGTATAAAGGTGACAGCTGACCCCCCCCCCCCCCTCCCCCTTACCCCTCTTGGCAGTTTGTGTACCTATTTTTTTTATTATTTTATTGTCATGAGTTGCTTTAATGGGCATAGTCAGCAAATCGCGTTTCGATTCGAGATTTCCGGCTGCTGCTTAGGCGCAGCAATTAATAAATTGACAGCTGCTCTGCCAATTAATCGAACATAAAAACCCTAATGAAAAACTAACAACAACAAAAAAAAAAGGAAAAAGAATAAAATCATAAATAATGGGCAAATACAGATAAATTGTTATAAATGTCTATACGAATTAAGTTCATAAATTAAAGCGGAGCAACAAATCCAAATGTCAGCCATAAATTTCCGACTGAGACTCAAAATTAGTTGAAAGTTGTGTGTGCAGAGAGTGGATGTTTTTTTGTTTTTGTTTTTTTTTTTGTTAGCACCAGGAAATTGGCTCGTGACGATAACGAAAACGAGAAAACAGAGATTTTTCGATCTTAATTACCCCCGCCCCCCCTGTGCGGGGTATGTAAAGTGTATTAAGCAGATACCATTGAACTTAATTAACATTCTTAATCAAAATTTGGCGACTTACAACCATTTTAGAGAAACACAATCTTCGACTCAAAAATATGGCTTCGTTAAAGCAATTGATTTTGATTTATTGGCACAGCATCAAAATATTAATTAAATAAATTGTATTTGTGCTGGCAGTGATTTATTTACATTCGATTGCCAGCCTGAGGGGATTAGGCAAAAGGTGAAAGGTTGCTGTGCAGTCATTGTTCCGTTTGGCTGCTGCTGCTCGTCTTCGCCTGAACCCATTCAAAATGGGTAAAAAGGGTATAATGGTTTCGTAGCAGGCAGAAGCACGCATCGCCGACCCCATAAAGTATATATATTCTTGATCAGGTTCAACAGTCGAGTCGATATAGTCATGACCGTCTGTCCGTCCGTCCGCCCATTAGAGACTATAAGAGTTAGAGACTTGAAATTTGGAATTTAGATTCTTGTATACCCGGCGCAGTTAAAGTTTGCTTTATTTGATCGATAAGTGCCTCCGTTTATCGAATATCGATACATTTAAATTTCAAATTGCAATAAATGCCACAATTTTTGTGGAAGAATTTTCTAATTAATACATCATATGCATATGCTTATTATTGATCAACTGACTGAATTTCATCAAGATCGGTTAAGAAACACCCAAGTTGTAGTCGAATATATATTCTCATATTGATCTCATTTCTATCAGCAGCCGCAAGCATTTTCTGTATGCGCGCACACGTGTTAGAAAGAGATGGCACGACAATCGACGCGAGCGTAAATATGTTTTTGTGTGTATTCTGCTTAGCCCCGTTATCCCGTTACGATTGCGTGTACGTGTGAATCAGCAAGTGCATTTGCCGAGCAGCTCTAAGAGAGGATTCCAGTTCCTACGACGCACCTGGAAGTATGCTGTATGCTGCTCTTCGCTTGGGACTTTATCGGGTGCGCTGAAGAGCGCACTACATGAATTGAATATATCAGTTTTTGTTGCATTTTTAGTTTATTTTTTTATCTTTCGTTTTGTTTTTTTTTCTCATTTTTTTTTTATTATTTAGGATTTATACAATAACTTAACATTTGTTTTGCTCTTGGAATCGGAAATATACAATATTAAATATTGATTTCTTGTTGCATTTATTTTGTGTTTCTTTAGTTCACTGATTTTGCTTGTTGAGTTGCATTCGCGTTTCTTTTTGATTTCATGTTTGTTTGTTTCTTTTATTCGAAATTGAATTAGCACTTAAATCGGGGCTTGCTATTACAAATATTTTCTTTTTTAATTGATTTTTTACTCCATTTTGTTTTGTTTTGTTTTGTTGTGTTGTTTGTTTAATAATATTATTACATTAATCAAATGCAGCACATTAATGCTTAGGCTGTCTGTGTTTGGGTGTGTGTGTGTTGGTGTGTGTATTTATGTATTGTATGAGTGTGTGTGGCGGTCCATTTCGGTGTTCTCATTTATCTGTTTGGTTTAGCTTTCTATATATGTTCTGTATACGCACAAATTTCACTAGGCTGCAGTGTGTGTGTTTGTGTTTTTGGGTGGGTGGGTGTGAAATACACACACACACACACACACACCCACACCCACACAATATATATGTGTGTATGTATCCATGTACGGTTTGCTGTAAACAAGAAATGAAGCTTTGATGCAAAAAGAAAACAAGAAAATTAAATACCCAGCATCTTGAAACTGGCCATACACATTATTCTTTTGTCTAAACAAATCTCTGGTTTATACGAAAAGTTTATAAAAGAGAAAAATCCACATGGAATGCAGATGACTTTTCAGTAAGTGTGCAAAACTGGAAAAGCTAAACGATCGAGTAGCATTGCAACCGTTGCAGGGAAAATAGTTAAGCTTTTTGAATATTTCTTTTTGCTACTGTAGAAAGTTGGAACGAAGCAAAGCTAAACAACTCTCTACAAAACTAACAAAATAATCACACTTGAAAATCGTGTGCAAAAGCATGTTAAATTCTGTGCGTATTTCATGCGTGAAAGTTCAACTGGGTAACTTGGCTGGAGAAACATTTTGATTTTGCAAGCTTATTATTTACTCTCTTCCTATGTTCTTTCATACATATATATATATGTATGTGTGTGTGTGTGTGTGAGTATGTGTGTATGCGCACATATATAGTTGTGTATGTATGCATTTGTTTGTTTTCTCTTGTTTGTATATTTTGTTTAAGGTTTTAACATTTAATTTAATTTCATTACTTTCGTCATATAAATAAAAATAAATACATTTTGTTTTTGTTTTTTTTTCTTTTTTTGTTTTTTGTTTTTCTCATTATGCATGCAGGCAACTGTTCTTTTTTTTCTTTCTTTTTTATCGACTTTTTAAATACTCTTTAAAAAGCTGCACTAGTTTTACAGATACGAAAAAAAAAATATATATATATATTATGTATGTATATAAAGTGGAGTCACATTACAAAAAAAAAAGGGAAATTTATATATATATATATAAACATAGATATATACATGTATATATATATATATATATTTATATTCAGCATTATAATAAACAATAGCTGTGGTTGATCGCTATAACGTCAGTTTAATATATATATTTATATATATACATATACATATATATGTATATATCTATGTATATATACATACATCCAGACTAACAAATATATAAATATATATATATTATATATATATATCATAGTTTTTTTAAACTTAAACTGCAACTGCACGTGGGTTAGACAGCGACAGCTATAGCGCGCATTGAGTTGATGATGAGTGAGACAGCGATGGCAACAGCAACTGTTAAGGCGCAGACAGAGTTGGCCGGTTAACAGCTGCTGTTACGCTCGCTGTTCGCTATGTTTACAATTAACTGTTTTCTGTTGGTTCTGTTCAGAGAGCTCGCGTTTTCTTTCAATCATCTTTCATCTTCATCTTCATCTGTGTCTGTGTGTGTTTCGTTTTCATTTGCATTGCTTTTGTTTTTGTATTTGTCTGTTTTGTTTTGTTTTGTAAGCAAGCGTTTCAATGCAGCAGCATTTTTCAAATATCAACAGCTTCGGTTTTGTTCCCCCAAAAAAGTTAGCATTTAACATTAACATTAAATATGATACGCCCCAACCAAAGCTACCAAAAGCCAGTACCCCCAATTATCATTCTTCTTCATCCTTCCATCGGCTTTCGTGTGACTGTGGCTATCCCTCTCCCTCTCTCTCACACAGTGTATCGTTTGTCCCTCGTCTGTTTTTGCCTCAGCTTGTTGTTTGTGTGTGTGCTTTTTAGTATTGTTGTTGTTGTAGTTCTTCTTGTTATAGTTGTTTCTTGTTGATTTTTATTGCACCACACAGCAGCCCTTTTTCTTGTTCTTCTTCTCGTCGATAACCACATGACTAGCGGAAGTTGGTCCAGGCACCACTTGCTTTGAGACTTGAGCCAAAGAAGTGACGCCATTATTGCTCTCCGCCTTGCCAGCTGATCCAGCACCAGCAGCACCACCTCCTGCTCCTGCTCCTGTCGAGCTGGCCACTTTACTGCCGCCGTGGGAATTTGTACCGTTTTGTGCTGTCGCCTGATTCTGCGAGAGCTGTGCAAGATACAACGAGAGATAGATTAAGATTACAGTTAACAACCGTTATGCACGCATTCAACGAGTTCATTTAACGATTCAATATGAAAGTGCATATTTGAGTGAGTCAAGTTAAGTGGTTCTCCTTCAGCGAGTATATTTGGGTGAGCTCTGACGAGTGACGAGTATTTTACAACTAGATCCTTAGTCAAGGTTTAATAAGTCAAAACATCCATCGAATTATGGACGAAAATTGCATTTGTTTTTTGAAGATATGCAATAAGATTTCAGTTAGGAATAGATTTAAATTTTAAACGATACTCAACTGGAACATTTATGAAATAAAAGTACCCAAATTGTGTACGAATTAAAGAATAATTTGAGCCGAAAAGGGGGAGGGACAAATGAATATCAAGTTATAGAGATAAAATTGTCTAGAACTGGAATTAGAATTTAAAATATAGCTGATTTGAACTGGAGAATCTGAACTTTGATACTCTAATGCATTAAAACATGAAAAGGAAACCTTCGAGTGTTCTTCTTTGTGGTGCTTACATTTGTTTTGGTAACGCTCTCGCTTATTGCAGTGGTAGCGCCATTACAGTTATCATCGCCATGCTGTGCGTTGCCATTGCCTATTGTACGATCCTCAGTAGGCGTGATGGGTTTGCCACCTGAGACGACACAGGAAACGAGAACGAGAGATCAGCATATGTAAGATATATATATATAAAGAGAAGAGAATATGTGTATATATCTCTCAGGAGCTTACCACGTATCATGCTAACAATTTCATCAGCCTCTCTGGACAGATCGCCGCCAGGACGAAATGGATTATCCCAGCCGGAATCAGTGCTGAAAATGTGATTGATTGATTGAATACTTGGATGGATGATTGATGATTGATTTAACACTCACCTCTGCTGTCTGTCATAGGCCGGTCCCAGGCCGACAGTTGGCTGCATCGTCGCCGTCGCCATTTGCGTATAGTCTAAGTTACAATTGTAGCTACTAAACGTATTATCTAGGTTATCTGAAAAACTCGTTAATGTATACTCGGCTGGTGGACAAATCTGTTGCGGCTGACTGCTTTGGTAAATTGAAACGCGCACTATCGAACGCTCCGATCTGCAAAGGAATAATTAAATTACAATTACAATTAAGGCACGTCGTCGTCGTCGTCGTTAGCAAAGAAACCCAAATATGGTGTACATATGTATATATATATAATGTGTAGTATATGTGCTAGTTAGTGGTAGTGTAATAGTCAAGCAATTACGTCAGCCTAAAACAAATTCAATGTCAATTAAATTAAGTAATTTGCCAATTGCGTCGAGAGTCGCGTCGAGTCGCGTCAGCGATTTGAACTTTTCAATTCAAATTCGTTTCGCAAATGGAAACTGAAACTCAAATTGAAATTGAAATTGACATGCCAAGACATGGCAACAAAATCTCGACCAGCTCTCATATGAGCATATGATGTGTCTTCCACTCGACTGTCGCTTTGCCCTCTCCACCCACGCTTTGCCCCTCTCCGCTGGTGTCGGAGAGCAACCACAGCAACTGGTTTGTGCGCGTGCCACACACACACACACTACATATTTGTACATACATGCATATATATATATATATATATATATATATATATATATGTTATATAGTTGTTATATAACGTGCCGGGAGCGACGACGATCGGCTCTGTCGATCTCACAATTATAACTGACCAACGCTGCTAGACAAAAAAAAAACGGCGACAAACTTGTGCACCAGGAAGTCACCACATGTCCCTAGAGAGATATATATATATATATATATACCTATATGCTTTTGATTCATATGGAAGCGGTGGTCAACTTAATCAACTAAGTTCAAACTAAAACCAGTTGTGAATTATTGCCTTTAGCGTTACTTAAACATATCCTGTGTTTGTTTGTTCCCATCGTAAATATGTCGCCTGGTATTGTGTGAGACTGGCTAATTAAACAACTAGTTAACACCTCAACCAGTTGTCAAATTTGATGTAAATAAAACTAGTTTTGAATGTAATGTTCTTATATGGCAGAGTCTGGCACCTTGTATTAACTTAATTTGCCCCCCGATAACTGGTTGGGAATTGTGAGCATTCATTTGAGTGCTTGAATCGAAATATGACTTAAGTCTTAAATTGTCCTTTCAATTCAATGTACAAACTTCATTTCGAGCCGACTTTAAGTCATATACAATATCATATTTACAAGTTTGATTTTCAATCTTTGTTAGTATATATTCGACACGTTGTCAATATTTGTCAACCTTGAAAGTGGGGTTTGTTGCTGTTGTTTGTTTTTTTCTTTCCTTGCGTTTCCTTTCATGTCACAAGACAATTAAGTGTGTCGCTTTTGCAACTGATTTCCCTTTGCATTTTCCGCACAAGGAAAGCGAACCACAAGTCAACTAATTGATGTCTGACCCAATTTTAATTAAAATAGAGTAATGAAAATTTGAAGGCGGTACGAGAAAAACAACAGTTGTGTTGCTGAAGCGCACCCAATGCAAAATGAGTCACAACATGCCTATCTAAAAATCCATATCATTAGTAATTGCATAATTTTACGACTTGCGAGTTACTGTTTGGCTTGTTCCTTAATGAAAAAAAAAAGCTAATAAAGATTGCATGCAGTCGAGTCGACTCGAGTCGAGTCTTGTAATTTCCCGTTCTCAAGCTTAATCTTAACGAAACAGAAATCGATTATGGAAATAAGCTGAGAATTTCATGCACAGCTTTCCTGCACTTCATTTACAATTAGCCGCAGCCCCAAAGTTATTAACTGAAAACCCAAACGAGACACTTGTTCAAGTTGAAGTTTAAATTGGAACACGAATTAATCGCAGAGCTTCTTTTTATGATTATTTTCACATAAAAAAGCCAAGCAAAGAATCAGATTATTTTCTTTCTTCAACTAACTTTTTGTTACTTTCAAAGTTTTCATTCTACTTTGGCATTTGTTGTTATTGTTGTTGCTTTTTTGTTGTTGTTTATTTCTTTGCGGGTTCCTAGAAAACTGAAACGAGCCAAAAAGCAATTTTCTTAGCTCTATTAAATGGTGTTGGGGCCTTGTTTTTTTTCTCTCTTCTGACTTCTTGGTAGCTGGCATGATGCGATCTACGATCAGCGATCTACGTTTTAGAGTTCTTTATATGCCGCTGCCCGTCTATCAACCATTCTCTCTGTGTGTCTTTCCGTCTTCCCGTCTGTCTGACTGTCTTTCCGTCCGTCTGCTCTGTTTCAGCGTCTGTTTCGGTTTATTGTCTGCCAGTTTAGGCAGTTGGTTTGCCTATTTTGCCAGTCATGTTTTTGTTGTGTATTTTTGTTTAATACAAAAGCCCAAAAAAAAAACTTGTCCAAAGACAAGTTAAAAAAAACGACTTTAAGGTCTTAAACACGTAAGAATATACTAGCGGGTTCAGTTTAAAACTGAGAGATATCCTCTATTTAGCGGTATACAAACATCGAGCTGATTCTGCGGAGTTCAACTTTCCCATTTTTTAATTTATGTGTCATAATTTAACGGTATCCAAAACTCATTTCTAGGCAATTTGAATTTATGCTAAATGGCATTCCAGCTGCGAAATTTAGACTAAACTAAAAAAATAGGAATAAAAATGTCTACAATCAAATGACAAAGTCGAGTATGCCAACTTAATCTTATTACAGGGTATACACAAAGTGACTTAACTTAAATTCTGTAACGAATCGAATGGACACTATGAGTTCCCAAGCTTATTTGACCCGAACCGAACCTGATCAATAATATATTAACGATTTGTATGCCTAAAGGGCATATTAGTGAATAAAAACATCATTTCATATCTCAGCGAATCGAATGGAAACCGTATCGAATCAAAAAACATTTCGTCAGTCACCGCTGGCGAGCCAAGTTGTTTTATCTGTTTACTTTTCAAATACACTTCATAAATTCAACGTACACATGTACGTACATATTATGTAGTCACTAAACTTGTTGTTATTCTGTTGTTGTTGGCGGCTCATTGAGCATGTGAAGATTACGTCATGTGCCGAAATTGATATGCGAATGCGACAACAACAAACACAATAACAGCAACAGCAAACAGCAACAACTGTAACAAGCTCAGCGACAAGAACAAGCAAAGTTACAAGCACAAGAAACAAGTTTTTAAAATGTTTTTTTTTTTTGTTACTTTTCAAGTGCCATGCGCATGTGGGGAGAGGTGGGGGGAGGTGAGGCTGTCATCTCATCATAAACTTCCTTTGAAGTGTGTTCAAATAAATTGAAGCACACAGAACAAAAAAAAGAACTTGTTGCTTGGAGTAATTGTCTGGAAGAAAACAGCTTCTCAGCTGGCGTGGGAGGGAGAGCGACGAATAAGCGAAGCGAAGGAGAAGTCGACGAGAAGTGCAAGGTGTTGGAAAACAAATGCAGCGGCGAACTTGAGACTCTCTGCTGCTATCACTGCTGCTGCTCTGCCATCGTTGTGTTCCAGTTGTAGAGTTGCTGTTGTTGTTGTTAGTTCTTTAATGGCGATGAGCGCATCAAGTTTGGCGGCTTTCAATTAGGCTATGGTCGGACAGTCGTACAGTGGGCTTAGTGATGCCAAATATTTGTCAAATTATTGATACGGAACATTAACTGTGTGATTACGTTTTTGTTTTGATTCTTTTTGTTTGTTTTTAAGCACAAATGTTGCAAATAGCTCTGTGTCATCAACGATTCACATAACATATAAAAAATACATTAAAAAAAAAAGCAAAACGAAATTGTTGGCAATATTTAGATGAATTGGAAGTATTTGAATTTTGCCACCTGTTTTTTTTGTTTGTGGTAAACGACCACTGGCCACTGTGCGCCATCACAACAACGTCACAGACACGCATACACACACACACAAACGCTCAAACGCACGCAGGCAATGCGAGCAGCAGCGTAAATTAATTTAACAAATTACAGACATATATTTCTGTGCGTATGTGTGCCTATATTTACTACATATGCACATACAGTTAGTTTGTGTACATATGTGCGTTGATTTGTGTCAGTGAATGAGCCCCACCCGCGCGTTTAAAAAAAAAAAACAGAAATTAGCAGTTGAGCGAAATGTTAATTGAACATTTTTGCACTTGACGTCAAACAAGAACAACAAACGGCAATTTATTTTGCATGCCAATTGGAAAATATGATTGCACATTGCTGTTGTTGTTGTTGCTGCTGTGTTTTTGTTTTTGATGATTTCGGTTTCTCTTTTTTTTCGTATTGCATGCAATAAAAAGCACCATTGCATTGAGGCGCGCGATTCTTCTGCTGCTGCCGCTGCTGATTCTGTCGGCATTTTCATTTTCGAAAAATTTAAATGCGATCACATGGCTATATTATAGAATTTATATTATATATACACATATATATATATAAATATATATAGAAACAACAACGGCGCAGCGGGCACGAAAAGCGTCTAAAGCTAAAGCTATGTCTAATTTATGTACAAACAAGGCACTATATTTTAACACACAGACACACTGTTAAAAGCAGCAGCAGCACACACACACACACACGGCCAGTGTATTTTAATTGCGTTCACAGAGTATTAGTAGAGCTGCGATAGAGGGAGGGAGGGAGAGAGAGAGAGAGTGAAAGAGAGCAAGAGAGCGTGGGGAGTGGCAAATGGGGTGGTGAAGTGGTGTTGGCGGCGTAATCGACGAAGACAACTGGAGGGGGAATACGGGGGTTTGGCACTCGCTGCTGGTGTGTATTATTTTTTGCGATGAACTCACTGCGCGCATCCCACCATGGACAACAAAAACAACAACAACAAAAAATACCAGCAGCAGCAAAGCGTAACACACTTGATGTGTATATACATATATGTATTTATATATACATATATGTTTGTGTGGGGCAAATCACAACACACAACAAACTCACAGCACAAATTACTTTCGCATTGTTTTCTATGAATTATTTGCTTGCCATATCAATTGTTTTACATTTACCAACACTATGTGTTGTGGGTGTTGAGTAGTGAGTGAATGAGTGCAAACAACACCCCCCAACTCTCGGCTCTCTCACTTGCTCACTCTCTTTTAACCGGGACTAACCAATACACCAACCACTTGCACTGCCTGCTACTGCTTGCGTATGTGTGTGTGTAGGTGTGTGTGCGTGTTTTTGTGTTCCTCATTGGCACGCACGATTGACTTTTACAGTTGTTGTTGTGCCTAGTTTTTTGTTGTTTCTTTCTGTTGTTTTTTTTATTTTTTTTTTATAAAAATCTGTCACTTGGTTTTAATTTGAAAACAATTAATTTCACGCACTTGACAATTTGACTTTAGGCAGCTGCTACTGCTGCTGCTGCTTCTTCTGCAGTGTTTTTCAACGTTCTGCTTCCTCTTTTGCGATTCTACGCGCGTTTTACTTTTGCGACCGACCTCTTGTTGTTGTCTCTGCCCTTTACTCGACACTCGACACTCAACTCACGACTCGACTCTCGCAAGCGTCGTTCTCACAGAGGCTACTGCTGCTGCTGGGGTTGTTTGGTTGAAAAAAAAAAACCAAAACCAAAAACAACAACAACTCACCAAACGTTACGAACAAAATATATTGAAGAAGAAGTAAGCAGCAATTTCAAGCAGTGAGCGGACGAGCGCCCCGCACGTTATTCTCGTTTGTTGTTGGCTGTTTGGCGTTGTCGCTGCGTTTGCCTAGCTAAACTTGCAAGCTTGCTGCTAAAAAGTAAAAGATACAATACGCACACACACACACACACGTACTGAAATGTTTGCAGGAGCGTGTAGAGCGCGAGAGAGCGCGCTCTCCTCCAATAGTGAAGTTCACATCTTGGCGTTGCCACCTGGGCAAGTTTCTTTTGTTTTTTACTATCTGCACATATCGAATGAATGATTCTTTTAAATAATCAACTGTCAAATTGAAGGTGAATTTAGTTATTAATATTATTGGTAGAAAATTGAAATTTCGATATTTGTATAGATTGCAATTGTGTTTTCTAATGCATGCTGCATGTATACATATATTTTACATGAATATAAGCGCTGTGCACTCAGAATTTAAGAATACATGTATTTTTTTTTTAAACAAATCTGCTTCATCACATAAGAAATATTCGAATTAAAATCGCATAAAACCGAAGTTATTCTTATTTAAGATCGCCCACTATAATTTTAATTTAATTACTTTCTTGCTGCTACGTAGAAGTCATTAAGATAGCAAGCAATAAGAACAAAAAATTTAGAAATTGCACGCAAAATGGCCAAAGGGGCCAAACAAAAACAAACAAAAAGACGGTAATTTCGGATATTTGGCAGCTGTAACAACAATAAAAGAAAATCAGAGGCTGCGAACTGCGCCTTTTATTTATGTAGATTGTTGTTGCCAAGATGCGCATTAACAACTGCGAACGACGCACATTGTAATAACAAAAGCAAACAAACAAAAAAACAATAGCGCCAAACGTGTCACAACATCTGGCAACGCTGCTAAACCAACAAACATGACATCACTTTTTTTGCGCACTCACAAAAATGCAAAGTAATGCGGAGAGAGGGAGAGATTGTGTGTGTGAGAGAGAGAGAGCGGGAGCAAGCGCCCCAAATGAAAGAGAGCAAGTTTGCGCGCTCTCTTTCTCTCCCTGGAGCTGTTATACACAGCAGTAGCAGCAGCAGCAGCAGAAATGACGGCAGCGGACAGCATGAACAAAAATAAAAATAATAACATAAGAAACATAAACACGTAACTATATGAAAAGGTAATCTCGAGAGGGGAACACATAGAACAAAAAAAAAAGAACGGAATGAAAAATAAATGGAAACGGGAGCAGCAGCGCGCGTCTGTTCTTTTTTTTTGTGCTTGACAGTTAATAAACAGGGTTGCCACGGCGCCGACTATCGGACAGAGAGACAGCGACGGCCGACAAAGCTGATGCTGACAATTGGGGACGTTCTGTGTGTCTATTGTTGTCGATGCCGCCGCCACAAACTATTCAGAGCGCACGTACATAGAATGCGATATTTGTATACATGCGTGTGTGTGTATGTAGGTAATAGGGCTGCCTGACTGACTGCGTGACAGACAGACTGACTGGCAGCAAGAACAACAACAACAAAACGCACTACTGACCAGCGGCACAATTACCGTTAAGCACTACATACATACACACATAAGCACACACACATACACGCAATGTGACAGTGGCTGAACTCTTATGCGGATGCTTCTCATTCTTCCTCTTCTTCTCATTCTTCTTCTTCCTGTTATGCATGTCAAGTGTGTTGGGCACCGATTGAGCACCGGAAAATCAATCGACTGACGTGACAGCCAGCTGACTAACATGCATACACACACACACACATACAGCGATCGCTCGCTTAGTAAAACTACTCGCAAATTCTTATTTTGCAACCCATTTTATGAAAATCTTTGATTGCTTAAAAATTAATGACAGTAATTAACTACATTTAAATTATGGTGCAATTATTAGCAATTGTAAAATAAATATACAAATATATATATGTATGTATATAATTATAACGTCAGAATAATCGATAGATCATTAAAAAAGAAAGCGCATTTTTCCAAGTTTTGAAAAAATATTTTTGCATTTAATCTGTGTGAAGGGCACATAGATAGCTATTAATTATGAAAAGAGTACAAAATGAATATTCTGCTCTCTGCACAGTTATCAAATTCTTCGAGTTTCATATTAAGGAATGACCACTGTACCTGCGCACTTTCACAATAGATATATCGCATGTTCATATGTAAATTGATGTGGGCACACACACACTCACACACACACATACATGCACAATGTGCTCAAATTTCAAGACATTCACTTAAAAAAAAAATGATGGGTGGCCAGCTGCTAATGTCTCGGCCTCAGTCTCACCTCATTTCATCTCATCTCATCTCATTTCATTTTAGATCTAATCTCATAAACATAATCGATAAAAACAGCGGATGATTCTTCAACCATTCTTTTCTCATGCTTACAAATTTATGTGTGTATGTATAATGTATTTATATGCTGGCTAACTGTTGTTTATTGCATTGTCTACGAAAGATGAAAAGAAAGCAAGAAAGTTCTAATACATCAAGTGGCGCTCAAGCGCTCTCTATCTCTCGATATCCCTCTCGCTCGCACGATGACATCACGTCGCGCTTGCAACGAGCGACCAACCGGCAAATTAATGCGCACACACACACGCACAAAGAGAGCTAGAGAGGGAGAGACAGAGGGGACAACTGGAAAGGTCAACAAGAAAGCGATATCTTTGGCATATTTCAATATATTCAATACCCTTTCACAAATACATTCACTGTTACGTTAGCTGATCGTCAACTCAATTTTATTATTTTTTTTCCAAAAAAAAATATATATGTTAATTATTATATAATAATTATTATATATATATATAGTATTTGTTTTTAAGCCCATTTTTGACATTCAGTTTTAGTCTTGTCCAATTTGTTCATAAAAATTGTGCTTATGAAGCTTTGAGAAATAAGAAATACTTGTCACATCTAGAAAACCAATATGAGCTAAGAAGAGAATTCAAAGCTGTTTTCATCGAATCGCAAGCAGCTCTGACCTGTTATCTGCCATCGACAATCGCACACATGTTATCGATTACAAGGCTGACCAAAAACAAAAAAAACGAACAACCAAAAATGTAAACAAAATGCGTGGACAGCAAAGCAGAAATTTATTGATGACCAGCATAAAAACCATGCTTAATTTTGGAGGCGTTCGCGTGGGAGTGGCACAATTAAAAGAGACGACAACACACAGAGAGACGGGGCACCTATGCAGCCCGAATAAGATGTGGGTCAACAACCACCAAATGAAGTTGACCTACATCAGCCTTTAAAATGCAAACAGACAAACACACCCGCGCGGACACACACACACCCGCACACACATACACATATACACACACACACTGATAGCAGGCCACATTATGTAAGAAATGACGACGACGACGAGGCAGCACAGTTTACAGTTTAACGGTATTCAAAGCTATATAGCAACTGCGGCGGCTGCTGCTGATGCAGCGTCGGCGCAGACGGAAACAGTAACGACTCCAATAGGAGTTGTTGGTGGTGGCATGCAAAATGCTTATCCCAATTGGGAAAGGGCAGCGGCGAGAGCAAAGAGAGCGCAACGTTGGTAAACAGAGAGCCTTTTTTTTTGTTTATGGTGTGGGTGTGCTTCCTTCCCTGTCTCTCTCTCTCTCTTTCTTTCTCCTTTTCTCATCTGTGTGTGCAGTTTATCGCAAAGTGAAGTATTTTAAACTCCCAACGTAATTATCGATTAAAAAGTTAGAGGGTTTTTTTCCGACTGTTGCCGCTGCTTCTTCGTTTCTTTATTTTGAGTGTGGGTGGGGTGGGTGTGGGGGTAGACACACATAGAGTTCATTGCATGCAATTTGGGTTAGCGCCAGATCAGCCAGAAGCAGCTTAATTATGCATTTGGATGAGCTGCACACAAACAAAAACAAAAACAATGCAAGTGAAAGCTGCCAAAAAGTCATTATTTGAATTGTCTTTTGTTTTTAATGAGTGGAAAAAAAAGACTCCAGAAAGGCCTAATTTAGGGCTTATCCACAAAAAAAGTACATAAAAAAAGACAATGCAATGAGATGAGAGGGGTTCATTGACTTTAAAATGCTGCATTAGATTGGATGAGAAATGAGCTAGAGTTAAAATCGTATTTTCAATACATTATTTTTTGCAATCATTTTTACATTTGAAATTCTATTAGAATTTCCATTTGCCTTTTTTACAAAATTTCAATTGCTAGTTGAAATTACCTTTCTAAATCTGTCACTATCTCTCTCTCGCTCTCTCTCTCTAGTTCTTACTATTACCGCAATTGTTTTTTCCAGTCCAGCAATCAGTTTTCGTTCCCATGCAGTCTGCTGCTGCTGACGCTGATTGCATAAATAAACACAGAACTGTGACGTCACGCTCATCGGCAGAAGAACGGAATTTAAACAGTGATCAACAGCATAAAGCTATCTGTCTCTGTCTCAGTTTTCTCTCTTTCTCTACACACTACGTATGCTTGTTGTTGTTGTATAATGAGCAATACTTACTCCTCTTGCACCTCAATGCCGCTATCATCCATATTCACTTTCGCATAGTCACCGTAAGTGATGTTGCTGACTAGCGGTAAATGCGTTGCTGCTGTTGTTGTTCCCGCCGCTGTTGTTGTTGCTGTTGATAGCAATGCAAATTGCTGCGGCTGACCAGCAGCGACAGCAGCAGCATCTGCGGCATCGAAACCAAAACTAGGCTCAACATGCTCAGAAAGCGGCGTTGGCGTCTCAAATACCAAAGTCTCCACCATTGAGCCTTTCGATGAGCCAAAAGAAACGCTAAACAATGAAAGAGATGAAAAGAGCAAAGAGAGTGGAGATTTGTTTAATTAGCACATTGGCAGCAGGAGCTTTTCTTATTTTTATTTTCATTATTATTATTAATTTTTTTTTAGAGAGATTTACGTACCGTTTGAGGCCAACGCTTTTGGTGCCCAGTTTGCTGAGCTTTGGCTTTTTCTGATTTGTAGGCGGGCGGTTGAATTTATCACTTTGATCGCTGGAGTCTGCCGCAGCGGCCGTTGTGGCCGTCTCCTCAGACAGATCGTCGACGTCGCTTCTGTTGTTGTCGTTGTTGTTGTAGTTATTGTTGCTGGCCTCCATAACATCGTTGTTGTCGCTATTATCATTGTTATTGTTGTTGTTGTTATTGTGGTTGTTGCGGGACGGATGCGTCGCTGTCGCATGTACAAGTGGCAACGCTAGCGTAGTCGGCGGCGATGCTGCCAGCGGCGGTGTCGGTGTGCTGCCCAACAGCCTTGTACGCTCATCGCAAGCGCTGCCGGCAGCGACGCCAGCGTCGACAGCACTGCACGACGTTGAGGGCACGTTAGCAGCGAGCATTGCGTTTGGCGCTTACGGTAAACTTCTTACAAAGGGAATTCGTCGTTCAGTTTCTACGTCGGATTGCAGAAAATTCACAATTGGCGCTGCTGCTGCTGATGCATCATTTTGTCAGCAAGTTGAATGCACTCACGTTTTTACCGTTAACCGTTTACAAATTTCGTTTCAAACCAACGGCGCTTCACAGCGAGCGAGCGAGAGAGAGACAGAATGAGGAGTCAGTTGGGCTCGCAAAAAAAAGCTTCGTTCAATTGACAACAACAACAACGGGAATAATAACAATGCGGCGTTGCCAGTGTTTTATTTTTCTTTCCTTTTTTTTTATTATTTTTTTCTTGCCGCTTGATTGAATTTAAACCGGACGCAGCGCGGCAACGGCGACGCCAACGTCGACGCTCTCAAACTAATGACGACAATTCTTGCATACGAAATACGCTTTGCGGCTGCGGCTGCCGCAACTGCGCCTTTTTTGTTTTTGTTTCACCTTTTCTTTCACACACACACACACAGACACACAATGACATCTACATAGAACACATGCACATGTATAAAATATTAGCACCAAAAAAAAAACAGCAACAACAACAACAGCAACAGCAACAAAAAGAGATGCAAAAGACGAAGGAGTTGCGCTCGATAATTGCACTTGGCACTAAGAGTTGGCCGCTGCACTGCGCATTTAACACGTTTATAAATAAATATGCATGTGCATTTAATAATTGCGTTTCGTGTCTGTCGACTGCGCTCCTGTTGCTGTTTCCGTTTCTGTTTCGGTTTCTGTTTATCTGACCCTTCGATGCGTCGCCGTGTGTATTTGCTGCGCTTCGAATTTCAGCCACTGTCGGTCGGTGTGGCTGAGCCTCTTAAGTCGAACAAATGCCGATAAATACCACAACTTTCAAATTGATGGTAAATACCAGCAACATACTAACTGGTCACACTGAAAATCTTAGCAACTCCAATGAAGTATGCCCAGCTTGACTGTGTATTTGATGAAGTTGGCAATGCGAGTCAATTAAATTATTTCTATACTTAAATATCGTATTCCTAATTGAATCAAATTTAAATAAGATTTCGTATTTTAGTAAACTTTTTTTTACACATAACATAGTATATTTGTCGTTCATTCAAATTATAGTATATCGCTATCTATCGATAGCAAGAATTTCTTTTGGCGACTTCTGAGCTTGGCGCCATTATGAGTAATGTAAGCAGCGACAGCTGATGAAAAGTTTTAAATGGCGTTTTCTTCAATTTGTCAGGCCTTGCCTATCGAAAGCACCAATATATCGCTCAGCCGGCTAGCTATCGGCTCAGGGGTAGTTCGACCGCGATATGTTGGGCGGCAAGTTAACAAAAGAAATTTGTGTTCTTTTATTAAATCGGCGGCAATGCCACGATCTTGATTGGGATCAAAGAAGGAGGTGGCACGACCCCCATTGCCCACACGTCCGGTGCGTCCAATGCGATGCACATAATCATCCACAGCCTTTGGCATGTCTTAGTTAATCAGGCATGTCATAGCCCAGCAGTCGACCAACAAGTAGGAGGAATGTTTAGTCGGACCGTGGATGATTTGGTCAAAGAACATCTTTCAATGGTCATTAGTAGTAAAAGTGAAGCTTAGCTGGTCCGTGAGCCGGAGAAAAGGCCGAGCCACGTTGCCGCCAATTAAAATTTCTTAAAGATGACATATCTGGAAAGGGGTTTACAAAGTCCGTCGAATTTTCGAGTCGCGATCCGCGCATTACTCTTTAATGATTGTCAACGTTGTCCGACTTTGAGAACGCGCGCAGTCAATAGAACTAATTGTTGCATTTGCAGACATATCGATACTCAATTATCGTATGCCATAACCAAAAGTGAGATTTTTGTTCAATACCAGAATATACTGTAATACTGCACAGAGTTGCATTTGGCTGTAGTCACAAAATGCTATCGCGAATAAAAGCAATCGTCAATATCGATATGAGAGGCATTTGTCATCTGTGCAAACAGCGAACAACACAACAAATAAGCTGCAGCAGCAACAGTTATAATTACAAGTATTACTAACAAGACGTTCGTTTCCGCAGCTGTAAGTATTAGTTGACTTAATTAAATTAAGACCAAAACCAAAGAACACTGACCACAAAAAAAAAAGATTTTGACTTTGACGCGATCGTTAATTTACTTAACATTACTCTTCCCCGCTTCTTTTTCCACTTTTGTGTGCGTGTGTATGAGTCAGCGACTCAGCCCTAAAAAACAAATGCAAGATACGGGAGAGTTTTGCGTTTTGCTAGTGATTTACGTGGAATTCGTGATAGCAGCGCATTTGATGGGCTCAAAAATGGGGCGCGGCTGTTCGGTTATGTTCAGCCAGCTGCCTGCAGCTGCCTGTGTAAATAACACACTCACGCACACACACATGCACACATATATGCACTTAACAGAAGTCGAGCTTTTTGGCTGCTGATTTCATTCCTTTTATGGGCTTTCAATTAAACATAACAGCTCATGTGCGTGTGTGTGTGAGTGATCATTTTTGATGTTATTCGTTCGAGACTTAACGAAACCGCATTGATAAACACACACACACACATACACATGCTGACACACATATGGAGTTGACGTTGTCAGTTTTGCCATTTTTACAGCTGCATGACTCACACACAGTTCGCTGTATTACGCTTGTTGTGTGTGTGTGTCTTCTGATACCCTGTACCCTCATTAAAGAGGGTATAATGATGTGTGCATATGCCAGTGATCAACTATTGGTTTTTATTTTATATATATACAAAAGTGATGTGTTTGTCATACAAATCGGATAACAAGTACAAATACAGGGTATCTGGTAGTCGCTGCTAGCATGCACACTTAACTATTATGTTGACACAGTTTGTGTAGCTTTGGCTGAACTTGCCGACGCCGCTGCAATGCTACATTTGTGTCTATATATAGACACACACACACACACACAGATTGGGGAATATTGAGAATTTTAGTTCGTTCACATTTCGATTGCAGTTGAGATATATTCTGTATTCTTATTTTATTTTTATTCGATTCTCGTCCACAGTAGCGAACCGCAGACGCACACAAACACACACAACAAACACTCACAACAAACACACACAACACACACACTCACACATCACTTTCAGTCACACAGTGCCAGTTTGAAAATGTCTTCCCGCAAAACCGCCGGACGTCGGGCGACGACCAAAAAGCGCGCCCAACGCGCCACCTCGAATGTGTTCGCTATGTTTGATCAGGCCCAAATTGCCGAGTTCAAGGAGGCCTTCAATATGATCGATCAGAATCGGGACGGTTTCGTGGAGAAGGAGGATCTTCACGATATGTTGGCATCGTTGGGTAAAAATCCCGACGATGATTATTTGGATGGCATGATGAATGAGGCACCGGGTCCAATCAATTTCACCATGTTCCTCACGCTGTTCGGTGAGCGGCTGCAGGGCACCGATCCCGAGGATGTGATCAAGAATGCCTTCGGCTGTTTCGATGAGGAGAATATGGGCGTATTGCCCGAGGATAGACTCCGCGAGCTCCTAACCACAATGGGCGATCGTTTCTCCGATGAGGATGTGAGTAGTAGCAATTTGTGATCATTTTCCTTCAACGAATCAATAATCAATTTTCCCATCCCATTCACTCAGGTGGACGAGATGTACCGTGAGGCGCCGATCAAAAATGGTCTCTTTGACTATCTGGAGTTCACACGCATTCTCAAGCATGGTGCCAAGGACAAGGATGAGCAATAAGCTGCAACGATAAATGCTGTACTTAATTGAGCCTTCCGTTTGCAGCCACCTGGCTATATAGACACATATATTCCAGCTCCATTGTCCAAACTGTCAGACGAATCGTGTATTTTATATATATATATATATATTATATTCTTATACTATATACATTATTATTATTACATTTTTTTTGCCACCCGTTTTTTGTTCCGTTCTCTTTTGTAACCAAGATCTGCGCATTTAAATTTTAATGTTTATGTACGATATTACGAATGTGTGAACTGATAACACGATTTTTCCAATTTTCCATAAGTATTAACTCATTAAATAATACATATTTATACATATACGATTACATACCTACGTACACACACACACACACATACACACACACAGACAGACATAGATACACACACATTGTTTGCTGAGTGAGTCCCATTAAAATGCCGTTTTTTTCTTCTAAAACGAATCTTTTCTAATGCATCTCTGTTCACAGGTACGCTGGCAATGGGTATATCGACTCCGATCGAGAATATATACATATATAGGGGAACATAGTGAAAATACCCTCAACTACAATCTTAGAATTGATTAAATATTTTACAGTTTGGCAAACCACTTTAATGACATAATTCCAGTATTTGATGCTAGAATTGATACCCGACGTGACATAATTTAACTAAATAAATAGTTTCCCTGTTGTTTTGAGTGCGTATAAAACGAACACGAAAAAACGTTTTGTGTTCAATGATTTTCTTGAGATTTTTCGTATCAAACTTTACACAAATCGATTCTTTGTCTCTCTGCGCATTTTGATCTCTAAGATAGATTTTAGTCCAGAGTATATCTTAGATATATCTATTAGATACAAAAAAATTGATTTATTTAAGAATGAAATAATATTGAAGTATAAGCTAATTCCACAGATGCTATCTTAATATCCTTAAAATCCTGAAATTGTCTAGATTCGAGTGTATTCCGCGTTGGGCTTTGATGCCACAGCGAAGCGCTTCCCCACCCACATCTTGCAGGCAACGAACAGTTGACTGAGCACATCCCCAAACAGGATGGTGCCAAAGAAGACCAGCACAGTGCCCAGCCAGTGGCTAACTGTAAACGGATTGCGGAAGTAGACGATGGAGAACAGCAGAGAGATAAACTTGCGCAGAGTGACAACAAGGGTCACCGTGAGAGAGGCACACTCCGTGGTCAGCACATAGACGGCACTGATGCACATATATTGGCTAATCACATTGCACAGCAGATAGAAGAGAACCAGTGGGAAGGTGACGGACCAATTGATAACCGGTACGGGTAGAGTGACCACATCGGAATTGACAGCTATCCACCAGTGCTGGGCAATATTGCTGGCCATGATTAGGAAGCCGGGCAATGGCAACATGTGCGTGTAGAAGAGCGCCTCGCTCGGATGCTTGCCATGGCGCTTGTAGATCACCTCCTGGTAGATGCCCATGTAAGCGGTCACGAGTAGGGCAATCGTGAGCAGAGCGATGCCGACGCTCCACCAGAAGAAGTCCGAGTAGGTGGTGTCCACTTTCAGTGAGTGATGCGTATTATCCTTGACATCGCCACTGGATACCAATGTGCACAATATAATGCCCGCTGTGATCATCGCCACCGAGCTGTACTGCCTCAGATTGTATCTTTTCCTCAGCAGTATAATGCCCATGATCATGTTGGCCATCAGCGATCCACTCCGGAAGATCATGTGCAGCGGCATCGGTATATTGAAGTTGAACGCATAATTGTTGCACACATTGGCGCCAAAGAAGAGGACGACAAGCTTCACATAGTCCCTCAGTGGTATATTGGGGTGTACCGTGAAGAACTTGGAGGTGAAGATGAGACCACTCGTAGCGATGAAGAGGAACTGCAGGAAGGTAATTAGATTGCCCGCACCGGGATCTATTTTGATGATCAGCTCCAGGAAGTAGACGTTGCTGCAGCACCCAACAAAGACAAAGATCATGCCCAACAAGGCCTTCAGGTTGAGCGACATGTTGCGCCTGCAATTGATGTGGAAGAAACACTTTTTGAGTTCGAGTTGTGTGTTAGCCGCTCGCAAGTATTGCCTTCAAATGCTATCAAGAGCAGAACGCATGAAAGATAACTTATTTTTACAACGGAGCCCGATAATTAAAGCTATTATCTGTTGCTTAGATATTCTCAAACCAAACCAAACAAATTAAAAAACACACAATCGCAAACACTTAGAAAAATATATGCAACTCTCTGTTTCGCTGCACTCGGTAAACATAAAAAATGTTTTAAATCAAAATGAGTTTCTCACTCTTTTAAGTTGCCGTGCATCGCAACACAGTTATATTAAATGCAAAAATAGAAAAGTGCCAAAAACATTATCAAGCAGAATGATATAACAAAGTACTTGGAATAATTGTCTTTAGGAGTGCAGATAAAAATGGTGTCATAAACATGTGAAAATATAATAAAATTTAGGAGCAAGTCAAATAATGTTAATAGAACTTCAATGAAATTGTTGCAATTGTTAAACAACAACTGTTTATGACTTACGTTTATAATCGTAATAACAAAAATATATTTGATATATCAAAAAAAAAAAAAAAAAAAAAAATTGATGAAATAAAATTAGAATTTTGAACGGCTTAAAAAAAAAAAATAAATAAAAAAGTGAACTATATATCTTGAGTGATATTTGAGTTTTACTATATCCCGTTTGGTTGATTCGTTCGTTGCGGTCTCAGTCACAGTCACAGTCAAATTATCAAACTCACTGACAATTCTGCGACCGTAACGCACCTCTGCCAACAGTCATCTAAGACCGCAAATTGGAACTGCAACCCAGCGAATATTATTTGTGTCCACAGCAGCCAACAGCAGCCAGCCAGCAGAGTGCGTAAAAGCGATTGATGCCTTAACGTGTGCTTCGGTCGCCAAAACAATCTGCGAGAATTGAACAACAACTCGCGTCCGACGCACATCTTGAGTGCTGTCATCAGCACGTTCTGGATGGAGATATAACATCATCATCATCATCATCATCATCATCATCATCATCATCATCATCATCAGTGTTCCACTCTAGTTGAAGTCACTCAAGAACTTTATTTGCTTTTAGTATTTAATGCTGTGAGAACTTTTCATTTCTTTCGTTTTTTTTTGTATTATTATTTTTTGTTTTGCAGTTGGTTTTTTTATCCGTTTCTTTTTTCAAAACTAAATATTTTAAGGGAAAAAAAATAAATGTCGATTTCGTAGGATCAATATTTGATTTGCATAAGGTGCTCTTGGCATTGAAAGCTCTTCTTGTTTTGTGTAAAATACCGTAAAAGCTTCATCGTGTGCATTGATCAACGAAGCTGCCTAAAATGCCTGGCCATATTTTAGGTGCAACTGAGTCGCCCTGTGCCTCTACTTCCACTGCCTTCTGCTTTTTTCTTTTCTTTTTCTTTTTTTTTTTGAGCCAAAGAAGTGATAAGAAAACATTTCAAAATTGATCAATCATTCAGAGTCACTCTTTAAGGAGTTTCCCATTATAATTATTAGCAAATATTTATGTATGCAAATGTAATATGTCTTTTAATATGGAACGTATATAATAAATAATATAATATAATAATATAACACTGAGCGACTTTTGTCGCACATTTGTACCAACAATTTCCTAGATCCACAAAAATGAAATAAGCACAATTTTCATTTGCCATCAAAGAGTATTTATTATTTATTTAGGTTCATAAAAACAATATATTCAATTTATAAAAAATGTATATTGGCATAAATCAATATCTCAATTTAAATAGCTAAAACATCTTCGATAAAAATAACTTTGAAACATTGAGCAATGAACCGTTAAACATAATATTTAAAATTGTTTCCATGCTTTTCATTGATCATTAATTGTACAATTAGATGTAAAGTTTCCTTTTACAATTTTACAATAAGATGTTGTAAAAAAAATACGTTTTCAGTTTAGCATTGACGTAAAAAAGTACAAGTTTATGGTACAATTGTACCCTATATGGATGGAGCTTTTAGATAGTTAGAAAGGCAGAGTGAAAGAGAGAGAGAGAGAGAGAGAGATGGACAGAGAGTGAGAGCGAGTGTGATACACATTTGTATAATAAATATATATGTATATTCATTTATATGTACATTAATTGCATATTCATAAACAATTATTTAGTGTCTACGGTATTTGTCTTGTACCTTTTTTGTTCTATTTGAAAATTGTACTAAAACTACTTGGAGTAGTTATATAAAAACAACCGTCTCGATAAAATGGACACACGAATTACATAATATTAGGGCACGGGGCTACAGGCTACGTACAGCGTCAGGGACTTAGCTTAACAGAGTACATTTAGAGTCGGATATTTGCTTAACTAATCGCTATTTACAACAAATACAAGAGCAATCCCAAACTGAAAATGAAAACAGAAACAGAAACAGAGACAGGCGAGAACGAGTACGAAGCCAGCACGATTAAGAGCGGGACAGCGAACGGCAGGCATGTATGGCCTCTTAGCAGGAGTGGAGCAGGACCATATTTAACCGGTCTTTAGCTTCTCTTTTCGTACCAGCTGTTGCTGCTTGCGCGCCTCGAAGGCATCCTTCACCTGGTTGATCACATTGGCGAACAGGATGGTGCCGAAGAAAACGAGAATGGTGCCCAGCCAGTGGCTAACTGTAAACGGATTGCGGAAGTAGACGATGGAGAACAGCAGAGAGATAAACTTGCGCAGAGTGACAACAAGGGTCACTGTGAGAGAGGCACACTCTGTGGTCAGCACATAGACGGCACTGATGCAGATATATTGAGTGACCACATTGCACAGCAGATAGAAGAGAATCAGTGGGAAGGAAACCGTCCAGCTCAATCCAGGCACAGTTAGTGCCACCGGCTCGGAGGCAACAGCTATGCTCCAGTGCTGGGCAATATTGCTGGCCATGATTAGGAAGCCGGGCAATGGCAACATGTGCGTGTAGAAGAGCGCCTCGCTCGGATGCTTGCCATGGCGCTTGTAGATCACCTCCTGGTAGATGCCCATGTAAGCGGTCACGAGTAGGGCAATCGTGAGCAGAGCGATGCCGACGCTCCACCAGAAGAAGTCCGAGTAGGTGGTGTCCACTTTCAGTGAGTGATGCGTATTATCCTTGACATCGCCACTGGATACCAATGTGCACAATATAATGCCCGCTGTGATCATCGCCACCGAGCTGTACTGCCTCAGATTGTATCTCTTCCTCAGCAGTATAATGCCCATGATCATGTTGGCCATCAGCGATCCACTCCGGAAGATCATGTGCAGCGGCATCGGTATATTGAAGTTGAACGCATAATTGTTGCACACATTGGCGCCAAAGAAGAGGACGACAAGGATTAGATAGTCCTTCAAGCCGATGTGTGGCTTCACCGTAAAGAACTTGGAGGTGAAGATTAGACCCTCGATGGCAATGAACAGGAACTGTGAGAATGTTATCAGATTGCCAGCACCGGGATCGATTTGTATGATCAGCTCCAGGAAGACAACATTGCTGCAGCAGCCAATAAATACAAATAGCATGCCCAGCAGGGCCTTCATGTTGATTTCCATCTTTTGTCCGTTCGGCTGGGAAAAAGTTAAGAATACTGTTTAATATCGTTACATGTTTTGGGCAGAGTTTTGCTACTTTTGATCGTTAATCGCCATATCAGCAGTAAGTAACGGCATTACTTGGTATCTGCAGTTTCATCGCTCTGCTGATAAGGCGACTTCTCAAGACAAGCAGCGCACATGTATAATTAATATTTATGTGTGTGTGTGTCTGTGTGTGTGTTCAGTAGCTGGGCACGTACAGTGATCACTCGCAAATGACAACGACTTCGATTAGGCAACTGATTTGAATGCTCGTCCAATTTTGTTTTTCATTTACAGATGCTAATTTTATAAATGGATTTTATTTCACAAATAATCTGTGAAATATAACACTTTTCAGCTCGTTTCAAAATCATACAAATTACAAACACTATTCACAAAAAAAACACGAATATTTTAAAAATGTACTTTTTCTACTTTATTAAAAATGATTTTTTGTAATTAGTGCAAATCATCGTTTAAGCAATTAGTTTGCTTTGACTTATTAAAAACTAAATTAAATTGTGAAAATATTTTTCCAATTAAAACTGCTGTTGCCGTTGTCATGGTGATTTATTTGGCTGTGTCATGCCGTGTTGTGTATTTTAATGAATATATTATCAACTAGTAGCTCTCTAAACAACACAGACACACACACGTGCTTGAAATACAAACCTTGCAGATGCTGATGTTCTTCTTCCCCTACTCGATTAAGCTTATAATATTGTTTGTTGTGTTGTTGTAGCAACGTTCTCTGGCAATTGTTCTCTCTCTCTCTCTCTCTTTGTAAATGGAATGACCTTCAGCTGCAGTTTTGGCACACCCAGCTCTCAAGTTGACAATTACTTCACTTATCGAATTTACTGCATTTATTGTATGCGTGTAATTTTTGATTTTATTGTTAATCTTATTTGGCAAGCAGTCACAATTACGGTGTGGCGCTCTTTTTCTGCTTCTTTTCTGAGGCGCCTTGGCTGCTTCCACTGCTTTCTGCGCTTGTTTTGATTGTCGTCGAACAGCTGAAACTAATGCCGAACTTATCGCGCTGGGTCGATATCGCACATATGTTGGCAATCAATCGATATCACACACATGTGAGCAATCAATCGCACAGCGAACAGTATGTGGCTAAAAAATGCCAAATGCCTCATTACAACGTTGCCATATGTCGCTAAAGCTATGGTATTTATTTGAAATTTAAGTGCTAACGGAAACTTATTTTCAGTGTGGCTTCTTATTGAAAAAAAGCTGCAGCCTTTTCTAGAAATATAGTAAAGCAGTAATAAAGGATACACTTATATATATATATGTATATATATACATATGTATATGTATATTTCATTTCAGCTTAGCAGCTAAAAAATAAGAAAATAGCGATGCGTATTTATTGCGTTGCCATATAAGGATAAAATGATATGATTTATTTGAAAATGTCATTTAGCGCCTTGTTATCTGTAATAATATTTACTTGTTAAGAACATTGCAAATTACTTGTACTTAAGTCAAACAAAGCGTAGCAATCATATCCAATCATATATGTATGCTTCATATGTGCATATGTAGGTATAATTATAATTATATAGCTATAATTGTGTCCACAATAAGAACATGTGTTTGTTTGTTTTTGCATTTTGATAATTAGTGAGATATTGCCACAATAACAGCAAAGCTTAATTCAAAGAAGCATGTCAAGTTACTTTAATTATTGCATTGCTTGCAACACCATTTAGCTATTTTTCTTATCAATCCACAGAGATAATACAATGCGGATGGCCTAATATAAGGGGGCTATATATGTTCGATAAAAGGGGGCTATAAACAAATGGCGTAGAATTTTGTATAGCAGTCATTAACTTTCACTGGCCCTGAAAGCCATAGTCTTCGTGGCCTATCGGCAGATGATACGAATATCAGTCTTAACTGGGCCATTGCCATAAGATGAACAATAACGCTTTATTTCTGCTGCTGTTGGCCACATTGCTAACGGGCACCAGACAGGTAAACTCCAAGGGTACCTCAACAAATCTAAAGAAATTTTAAAGTATTTATGTACATCCTTTTTCTTTAAGATATAATATTTAAATAAATGTACATTCTTTTTTTTTGTGTATATTTTCAGCTCTCGCTGCCCACAGATAACAGTTATGTTGCCGGCGTTGTGGAATATCTGGTGGAGACGGGCACCCAAAGGGAGCGTACGTCAAAGGCGACAGCCGGATTTGTGAAAATACTCGAGTCAAGCGATGCATCAGATCTGGACATCATTGTCTTTCCCGAGTACGTGCTAAACAGTCCGGAGATGGCGACATTTGTGCCGTCGCCGTCGCAGAACGTGACGCCCTGCATCTCGCCCGACTACGAGCTGTTCATGGTCGAGCTGTCGTGTGCGTCTCGAGCGCGCAACATCTATGTGGCCTTCAATGTGGTGGAGAAGGAACTGTGTGGCGATGGAGTCGTTAGGTCCGATACGCTCAGTCCGTGTCCGGCGAGCGGGGTGCGTTTATTCAACACGAACGTTGTGCTGGATCGACGAGGTCAAGTCATTTCCCGTTATCGGAAGTCGCACTTATGGCGCAGGGAGTATAATTCACGATCGTTAATCCGTCAACCAGAATTGTCAACATTCGAGACGGACTTTGGCGTCACTTTCGGTCATTTCATCTGCTTCGATATGTTGTTTTATGAGCCAGCAATGCAATTGCTGATCGAGCGCAATGTTACCGATATTATTTACACGACCTATTGGTTCTCGGAGCTACCGTTTTTGGGCGCCATCCAGCTCCAGGAGGGCTGGGCCTATGCAAATAATGTAAATCTTCTCGCTGCCGATGGTAGCCAGCCGGCTGGACGCACCACCGGTTCGGGTATTTATGCGGGTCGTGCTGGTCGTCTGGTAGCTGAGATATACGAGGAGCCCACGATCAAGCTGCTCAAAGCGAGGCTGCCAAAGAGGCCGGTCGCTGGAGGAGGGCCACTCTTTGAAATGCCGCCGCAGGTGGTGCCGTCATTTCAGGCGCAGCTGGTCACACCGCGTTTCACGCGGCTCGCCACATATCGCGATTACAATTTGGACATATTCACCACCGAGCTGCTCGAGGTGAATTTCACGCAGATCACGAACAAAACGCTTTGTCACCACGATTTCTGCTGCACTTTCGATGCGCAGCGTCGTCCGATTGGCAGCTCAGCGGACCATGTCGCCTACCGTTATCGGTTGGGCGTCTATCGGGGCAATGATACCACCTTCATTTTGGTCGATCGCAGCGAGCAGGCTGTCTGCGCCATATTTGCCTGTCTCGATGAACAGTTGTTCAGCTGCGGTCGCATTTTTCCCACCGGGACCAGTGTGGCCAACACATATTATTTTGATCGCATTCGCATTGAGGGTGTTTTTCCAGGAGCGCCACGTCGCCTCATTATGCCCAGCACCCTAGATGGCGTCATGATGCCACTGAATGTGGCACAATACAATTGGACGGAGACGCCACCGGCCAAGGAGCTGAAGGATACGCGAGTGCAAATGGAGTTGCTGAGCCCCAAAAATGATCTGTTAACCTTTGGCATTTGGGCCAATTACTTCACACAACTGCCAACCACCCACAATTTGGATCATCTGCAACCAACGCCAGGGGCAAACAGTACAGCCCCACCTGGTACGGATGGTGGCGCAGGTCGTTCAACTATTGCGCCTGCTGCGACCCTCTGCTTGCTATTATTCTCCTTAATTGTGCAGCTTTAAATGGTTAATTTTTTATGAAGTTCTTGAAATTTATATATAATTTTTTTTTTTTTGCTTTCCTTTAAACGTATATTTATCCATTTCATATGCTTCCGTTAAAAAAAAATATTTTTTTTTGTATTTATGTGCATTTAAATTCATTTCAAAAGAGCGAACGAAAATTGTTGCTGCTTTCCAGCGATTCAAAAATTGCGCCAAATGCGCCATTAGTTTGTGGGCGAGGAGGTCGGTGCGGGTGTGTGTGGTAAAGTCTACATTCGACTCTACAAGGTGGCGAGATGACGATGTTTTGTTTGCTTGTTGTAGACTTGCTTCCAGCGCTTGCGCTTCATGTCGCTGCCAACGTCGCTGCCTGGTTGAAAGCCGCGTGTTTGCATTTCCAACAGGTAGCCAGCGTTGGCGTCGACATTGACGTCGACGTCGCTGCCGTGCAACAGTCGGCGCTATTTATAATGAGGCTTGTTGCTGTTGCACAAGGCCAGTCAAGCAGTGTGTGTGTGTGTGTGGCATGGCATGGGTGGTATCTTGGTCGAGGGGGGAGTGGGCTGCTGCTAAAATTGTGTGGTTGATCTGCCTGGCTGCTGGACTCACGCTGTGCCACTTGCTCCCCCCCTCCACCCACTCCACCTCCTGCTCAGCATCTTTCTTGCTACCTCCACCAAGCCGTCCTTTGCTTTGGCTCTTTGTCCGCTTTAACTTCATTTCTTTGCCATCCTTAAAGTAACCGCAAGTTCAGCCACAGCCCTGCCATGCCCGCAGTGCCCTTATTTAATTTTTTTTTTTTTTTTTTTGTACTTTTCTTGGGCGCCCAGCTGGGCGTTGAATGTTGCATTGGCCAAAGTGTGACGATTATTTTGGCCTCAGTTATCGTTGAAGTCCCGAGAAGTCTGGCAACCCCTCCAAAGATCTAAGCTCTTGAGTATTTTTGATTGCTTTAAGCCTTCGCATAATATATTATTGATATTGCTTTAAGACTTGACGGTGTGTTTTATTCATTTATATGTATGTGTAGAGCACTTATCTGAGAGTATCCTTGAAGTCCTTCTGTGTATGAGTGGGGAAAGTCTCAACTTCTGAGTCTGACTTGAAATTATATTCATATTATTCACATTGCTTTTGAGACTTTCTATGGCAATTTATTCGTATATTGAGGGAAAGGTCCTTTGCAGTTTCATTTTTAATACTCCTAATTCAATTTGATTGATTGAAATTATATTAACTTGGTGTAGCCATTAATTATAGTATTTAAAAAGTGCACTTAAATTGCATAAGCCATTGAACTCTTTTGCTTTAATCCGAACTTGTGGTTTTGGGACTCCAAAGTGACTTGTCAAAGGATAAGTCAATTAGCCTCTCATAATTGATAAAAAGGATTTACAATTATGGCAATCGGGAAAGTCAGTTAAAAATGTAATTAAAGCAGTTTGGGTAAAATCAGCTTGTCTTCTCTTTTCAAGTCCAACACTCAAACTTAAGAAAAGAACAACAAATATTTGTTGCTCTCAAACTTTTCTAGACATTTTGGTTTTTTTTTGTTTTTTTTTTGTTTTTGAATTTGTATTTTATAAAAAGCAAATTCGTTTGTACATGGTACATTAAGAGCGTATCTTGTAAAAATTACATTAAAACTTTGTCAGGCTAATGCTGGAGACTTTTTGTTGCAAATGCCTCAGGCGTAACATAAAAATAAAATGAAATAAATAAAATATCTAAAATTGTGTAGCTCCTTTGTAAGGCTTAGCGCTTAAACTGCTTGCGAATTATAAGCGTTAAGCGGGTAAAGTTGGAACAAAATGCTAAATTAAATAACGCTGTCAAAGATGATATTTATTTTGTAAGCACAGCTGTTCCATTCTATTCTGTTAACTAACTAATTAATATATCATCAAGGCACTTTTTTCTCTTCCTCTTTCTTTTATTTTTTTTATTTATTTTTTTTTTTGTTTGTATTTTTCTTCACATCAACACTCTGCGGCTTCCAACGGAGGTGTGGCAATGGACATTTTGCGGCTTTCGTCAGCTCATCTTTACCGACTTGGCCCCCGCCACATCCACAATGATTGTTTGTCTAGACGCGCCCAGCGAGAGATCAGAGAGGGTAGCACACGGGGACATGGAGTATATATGCGATGTCTCCTCCGGACAGAGTGAAGACGCACAGCATAAAAAGTCAATTAGTGTGCCATTCCAATCGTTTGAAAACAAACACACACAGACATACACACACACACACACACACACAGTGTCTATGGCAGAGGAAGCTGCTGCTTGTGCCTACTTTGAAGGCAGCTGGCAGCCAAACAAACTTCATAGGCTGAGCGAGCTGTGCCACGCCCATTCGAGATGCGTATCCTGACTGCCCGTCTGTCGACGCCGTCATCTCATTCATTGTCTGGACCCGATGGCCCCCACATTGCCAGCACATTTTCATTTTTCACACACACACACACACACACACACACACAAGCGAAAATAAAAATGAAAAAATAAAAACGAAAAACATTTTTCACAAAAATCAAAAAACTTTTCGCTTTTGTTGTTGTTGTTGTTGTTGTAGCTCTCGTTTTGTTTGCGCCTCGTTGGCCACGCCCCTTAACCTGGCGGCCGTCTTCAAATGTCTGTCAGAGTTTGCCTTTTGCTTGCACACCCTGTCAAAGTCTGCTTCAAAAACACAGTTGATTTTTTATTAGTAGAAATATTGGTCAATTTTGATTCCTTTTTTGCACATTTCACAAATTTATCGAAGTCATTTACAATCACAATTTGCGCTCTAAATTTGAGAATGTTAATATTAAAAAAAGATTTACTAAAAGTTCAATTTGTTATGTGTCTAAAATATTTTTAAGTATATTTTTGGACTCCTCTCTGGGCCTCAAATGTGCAAAGTTTTGTATATATTTTCATATAAAATGTTATATATTTTTTTAACTTTTTAAATTTTAATTTGAGCTGGATATTTTATGCATGTCTTTAATTACTGACTAACTTAGAGCAATCCAAACGAATGCTCGTCGCTGGCTCCAGTTTAAGGATTTATTATATTTTGATACTCGGATACAGTTGGAATTCCGTTGGGATTCGTCGACAGGATGAGATTCACTGCGTCACAGAGCATCTTTTAGTTTAGTACTCTTATATTTATATATATATTTTTTGATTTTTGTTGCTGTTGTTGTTGTTGTTTGAAGCAGCACCTGGCGCTTGAAAATTCCGCATGGCTTCTGTTACATTTTGATTTATTTGCTGAAATTTATTGTAAAGTTGCCCCCGAGTTTGCCAAAGTGAAATGTTTTCAATGGGTATGGTAGTGGCTGTTCTGGAGGAGGAAGGGGAAGCGGTTGGGGTTGACTTAATACCATCTACAGATACATATAGGTAGTGATTTGACTCGAGTACTCAACACTCGCAGAGCAAAAAACAACAGAAGACGACGACGACGGCGACGGCGACGACCACAAAATCAAAAAGTCTGACAATCCATTCAGCGCCCACACAATCCTCCCGCCCCCAAAACACCCTCGAAGAACCCCACCGAACAACCCCTAAGCAGTGGCATTCACAGCTGGGCATTGTTGCCCGTTGGCTTTTCTCTTCTTTTCTTGTTTTTTTCTTTTTCTTTTTTTTTTTTTTTAGAGTGGGTAGCGTGGTTGGGAGTGATTCTCTCTTGTGACGGGGCAAGAACTGATTGAATTGAATATCAGTTTTCAGTTTTCAGTTAACAGTTTTTCAGTTTACAGTTTTTTTTTTCTTTCGGTTTTTATGCCGCCGCTAGCGACATGCCTCTGATGCCTGCCCCGCCCTCAATGTGCCCCTTGAAGCGTTGCCTGCCATTTGAATTTGAATGGAAATGATTTTAGTTGATTTTCATATATTTTTATTATGCTCCCAGGCATTCAGCTGGCGTCTTTGTAAGCCTTTGTTGGGCTTCTCCACCTTCACATTACTTCTGCATTGTGCGGAAAATATGGCAAAATCTCGGAGAATTCATAATTGCATTCGCTGTATGTAAAATGCGATTGTCAATCAACTGCAATTCCTTTATAATTAAGTACATTAATTGCACATTCTGCGGGTAACCGACCTAATTAGAGAGAGACTCAATACAGTCACAGTTTGAGCTTGTTGCAGCAACAATCAATCATCAAATGGAATTAATCTGTTCTTAAATGATGTCGTTGTCTCAATGCATCAAAATTCACAAAAATACCTCTAGAAACCGATTGCATTTCAATTTGAAAGCCCGACTTTCCCGAAAGGAAGTAAAGCCGACAATAAATTACCCTTCAAAAGCGCACTTCAACTGTTGACAATCTGAAGTTTGGCTTGAAGTTCGAAGTATTATTATATTTTTAAACAAATTCTATCTTTAGGAATTCTCTCTCACATCTCCCTTTATCTCTTTGAATATTTTTCTGTTCGTTTTGTTTCAAAAATTTCTTGTTTGATAAAATGTCGTTTTATACAAATGTTTTTCTTATGATTCCAGTTTTAGGTCTGGCTTTAAATTGACTTTTTGGACATTTGTGTATTTATATTGTTTCGGATATTTTAATAAAAATAAGCATGATATTTCTTTGAACTTTGAACTTTGAATAAAAAGGTTTAACTAACTGAAATGATAACGGTACTTTCCTGATTTATTCATTGATATTGCAATTGTTGTTTTTGCGCAATATTTTTAGAAACACTCACAAGCCGTGATTCCACATTATTTGTATTATTATTATTATTATTATTATTACTGTGATTATTATTTTTTTGTATTTCGAGCACTTTGCGTAATTTATTGGCAATTTTGGACCTTGGCTTCTTGCCTTTTGATGCCCATTCTTTGATGCGAGCATATCAATTGCGTTTTCTGATTTGTTTTTGCTTTCAAGTTGAACGGTTCGCTTGTGCGTTCGGCCACTTGTCCACGAGCCCCAGAGTGGCACCCCACCCACTCCCCCCAATTCAGGGAGGCCTCCCTTACCGATTTGCCCAGATATATATCTACATATATGCTTACATATATATATATATATATATATGCATTTATGTATACATATATGTGTATCTGCGATTGAAATAATGGCATGCAGATGCATAATTTAAGGCAAAAGCGAAAAATAACAGCAAGACAGA